CTGGAGACATTTTTGGTTGTCATAACTGTAGCAGGGAGGAGGTGGTAGGTAGATACAAGGGATGTTGCTAAAAATCTTGCAATGCACAGTACATTCCCCAACAAAGAGTTATGTGGACCACAAATAATGCTGAGGTTATGAGGCCCTGCTCTAGAGGAAGTGGCTGGAAGGAGCCAGAAAATTAATGTTCTTGTTCCTTGCTGTGTTTAATAAATGTTACAAGAAAAAGATGAGCTCAGAAAATAGTCAACTATAAGCAGAAATAAAAGGGCTCAGATAAAGTCCAGAAATTTGGGGGCTTTTGTAAGTTTCAAAAACAATTTCTCTCAACTGCAAACAGTAGGAAGGAAGGAAGACTGACAAAGCAAAACCTCAGTAAGATTTCTCAGTTAAACAAAGTGATTCATTCCCACAACTAAGATTAAATTGAGGCTTTTACTTTCCTGACCAAATTTATCTTTTCAGATGGTCTCTTGGATATTGAACTAATGTCTATGAAAATATCATGAGAACTACAAAACATCATGAAAATATTATTGTCAAGGCCAACTCAATTGTTGCCACTTCAACTTTTCATATCAGAATTATTATACCTCCTTATGTTACTCTTGTCAGTCTTTCATTTCCACTCCTTCAACATGTAACATTTAATTCATTCTCCCTTTTTTACATACCTGTTTCCTCTTTCCATTGTAAATCTCTTGAATGCAGATAGTCTTAGCCATGTATCCCATACATGGCCTAGAACATGCCTTACACATAGTATATAATGTTTGTTAAGTATATGTTTATTGAATATATACTACTTTGCAGAGCATTGATCCCATGGTCCTTGATCTCTAGATGATTACAGCCCAGTATTAAGAGACACAATCACAAAAATCATTTTACAATATGACAATTCTTACAGAATCTGAGGCTCTGTTGACACTCATTTTCATATTAGGTGGTACTGGGAAAGCAACTACCTTTTGAACATCCTTCCATCCCAACTTCTAAGTGCACAGGACTGCATGAGACTAATTACTGTGTAAAGTTGGCACTGCCTTCTATAGGCAAAACAGAGCGTATTTCTGACAAGAATAGTCTTGAGGGTTGGAATGATGATCTTTTAAGGAGGTTAGGGGTTTAAATCTAAGAAACTAAATTTTAGCACTTGAGTAGCCAAAGGGTACCAAAAAAATAAGTCACTACAACTGCCCACGGGAGGGAATGGTGAGAGGCAGGTGTACATGTGTACATCAAGAAAGGCTAAGAGGAGATATATAAGAAGAGAAAACAATTACCTACCTTGCTACTTCAGACCAAAGTAGTTTAGCTTTACTTAGGCAGTTAAATAATTATTTGAACTCCCTGGCCCATCTAGGTGGCTCTGACATTAGGAAGATGCTAATGGAGAGTTCACTATAGATGGGAAACAAAGCAACAATTTTCTCTTCCAGACTTAAATCCCGCTTCTCAATTGAAGATACAAATCATGGATCCAGACAGGGTGACTGGATCACATGCAGGTCATGGAAAAGGATGAAGTTACTCAGGAGCAGCAAAAATCAAGAAAAATACAGAGCTTAAAATGTAGAGGGTATGTGGAATAGAAGCCAATGAAGAAATGGATAAGCAAAATCAATCTTGGTGGTTTTCTTACACATCACATTATGTTGGCTGTTTTTTTTTTTTTTTTTTTTTTTTTTGAGACAGAGTCTCACTCTTTTGCCTGGGCTAGAGTGAGTGCCATGGCGTCAGCCTAGCTCACAGTAACCTCACATTCCTGGGCTCAAGCAATCCTTCTGCCTCAGTCTCCCAAGTAGCTGGGCCTACAGGCATGTGCCACCATGCCCTGCTAATTTTTTTCTATATATTTTTAGTTGTCCGATTAATTTGTCTTTTTAGTAGAGACGGGGTCTCGCTCTTGCTCAGGCTGGTTTCGAACTCCTGAGCTCAAACAATCCACCCGCCTCGGCCTCCCAGAGTGCTAGGATATGTTGGCTGTTTTATATGAGCTTACAATTGAACCAGATGGTTTTGCGTGTTTTAAAAAACATATGTTGTTTTTCCACCTTGATTGCAAGATGCTCAAGGACAGGAATATTTTCCCTTTTATAATTTCCTAAACTGACCACACCCAGCACAGTCTTAGCCATATAGTAAAACTCAATAAATTTTTGATTCACTGGATTTAAGCAACACAAAGCATTCTATTCTCCACACTACTACCCCCCTACCCCAAAAAGCAGAAATCTCCCAGAAAAAGCAACTTTCTAATTTCTCCTGCAGGTAAATCTCTCACAGAATTCTTGGCTACTAGAAGTGTAAGAAACATGGTGCTGTACAGTTGGCTTTCTGAAAGTATTGTGTCAAGGCATATCAATGAGAAAAATCTTGGCAAGACTAGTGAGAGAACATGAACCTATGGCTAATCTTTTAATGGAAAAATATAATGTCAAACACAATCTCTAGTGAAGCATTAATGGAATAGGAACTGGGAGCTAAGGATTTATGATCTTGGGGGCAGATACAAAACCCGAATAGCTTTTGGCATCATCTGCTACAACTACTGATCAAGTGCATTTAACCTGGCACTGATTTTTTAATATTCCATAGGTGAGAAAAGGTAAAAGCAGGGATCTTACAGGGCTCATCTAAGACTGAGCAGCACAAACTACTAAACCCGGGAATGTGATGCGGAAATGCATACCATTACAAAACACACTTCACTGCAGGCCACATTTGCCCTTACGTTTTCTTTCTTCTCCTCTAACCACACCCTACCCTATTTGAACTTAACCTCCACTCTCTTCCCTATATTGTCTCATTTGAGGATTCATTTTCCTTTGATCTCTGTATGGATCCGAGTTACACATGTGCTTGTGCTTTTGAGAGTAGTAGTTTCCAATATCTTTGGTCCAACAAGGCTTCCATGTTGGTACTCTGTTGTGCCAGGTCTTCAATTCTCTTTGACATTGCCTCATGAACTTATGAGAAATGCTTACATGAACTGTTCATTTTCCCAATGCTGGGTTTTAAACTGATGAAGTGAGAAAGGATCCTGAGCATGGCTAACCAGAAACCACAAAACAGATAATCCAAGTCAGATACCTGGGTTTAAATTCTAACCTGTAGCCAAGTAATCTTCAGCAATTAAAAGTGTGAGCTAAGCATCAATACTTTCACTAAATTCATAATTACAGGATTAAATGACACAAGGACAATGCTTAGAACACAAAATAGCATTCAATAATTGGCAGCCTTTATAAAGAAGAGTCCAAAACAGAACTGCTAGCCTACTAGTGTTGCCAGATTTCAGAGAATAGCTATAAACCAAAGAAAGAATAGTCTCCCATCTCTCACCAGCTAGAGAAAAAGTCATAAGATTAACACTCAACACCAAAAAACAGTGAACCTTTTTTTACTAGATATTAAAATTTAAAACCACACAGCTTAACAGTAATGTTAATTTTACCACTAGGTGGCAATGATAACAGCCGCATTTCACCGAGATGAGTAATTTCAAAAACAGTGAGCAAATCCAGACAGAAATTCCAAGCTTCTTAGTACATATTTTCACCATGTATATAGAAAAATTCTTCCATATACAATTTAATTTATAGTAGGATGTGTAATTATCTGATTCAATATGTATGTTAACTTCAGATGCTTTTTCCCCACTCTATAGTGAGGCAATTTACGCAATGAACACAATTTTTAAACACTTTTATTACAAGTATTCTGAAAAATCTAGACATAGATGTATCTATATATTATGAAGATAACAGAATTTATGGAAAGCTATAAAGTTTAAAGTTTTATCATTCTAAGAAAGGCACTATAAAATATTAAGTATTTCAATGAAAAAGTTAAACCTTTTAAAAATGATGGCGAACAATTCTATTTATTTTTTTAATTTTGGGCCAAAAGATGAAATACGTTGGAAACACTTTGCTTTTAAATTGCAAATTAAATTAATACTAATATATGCAGTCTTTTCAATGTTGAATAATAAATTTTGTTAAGAAAATTTATCAAAATTCTGACTTAGATTAAATTTTAGATAAAATAATCCCTTCTTATAAGTGTCAAAATAATAAACAATGAAATTTCTTAGCATCTGGTACTTTCCATAATTATTTCTGCTTTCTTCATGAAACAGGATACAAACATATGATATTTAAAATAAAATCTCTATTCTTCTCATTTCTTCTTATTTTCTTAGCAAATAAAAGGGCTAGGTATGATAAAAATCTTTGAAATTATAGATAACATTTCCAAGAATGCAGTAAAAAACTAACAAACAAAAAAACTAAAAAAAAATGACTTATCAAATTTCAAATTCTCAAGATGTTGTTTACGCAAATATAAGGTAGGAGCTTGTTTCACATGTAATATTACAAAATCTGTGCTATAACTAGATGAATAAATAATAAACCTATACTATTATCCAATTCATAATAAAAAGAGCAAATTAAAACAAGCCTATTTCCTTTGTTCCCCTAAAGTTCCCCAAATTTTTAATTCCCAGTTTCCTACAAATGAATTGATCAGAATGCTATATATATATATATATATATATATATATATATATATATCACTTTTCCAGTAGTTTCTCTCATTCAGCAATCATTTCCTATATTTATTTCATTTCCAGAATAATTTCCTCCTCTTGCAACCCACACAAATGTAAGACAAGTATGTTTCTAAATTATTTTCATAATTCAGAGATCATTATTCCCCCATCATTACTGGATTTCATTTTTGAATTTAGATCATTCTGAAATCTAACAATATAGAACTTTCTTATCCTGTCATCCTACACAAATATACAAAAACAACCATTTAAGATGGTTAGCACAAGCAATGATTATTATGGCGGCCCTCATAAATCAAGCAAAAGATTTTGGGAAAGTGCTCAAACTGTTCACTATTAACTCTAACTTTGGCTAGAAAATTCAGGAAATGTCACTGTTGTAGAATGGATAATTGCAGATTTACAAAATTGAATACATGTGTACACATAATTTATATCTATACAGAGTCAGCTTCTGATTATCTGCACAAAGGGACAGAAGACACAGATGATGAAAACACATAATTCTCAAACCACTTTAGATTAATTTTTGTATCTGTATTTCACAGGATGTGAGAACTCATGACATAAAAAAAAAATTAAGCCATATTGCAAAGAGGTTAAGTGTCACAAACAAAATCACCAGAACAATGATAAAATTTTTTTTTTTTGAAATGCCATTATTGACTTGAGTTTGTCATCTTCTGTTTATTTCTGATGGTGGCTCTAAGTTTACGTATTACCAGTCTATCAGGTAGAATCATATCACCTTGTTGTTCTAGATAATCCAATAAATTTTCAGTCCATTGGAGAGCAGCTGCATGATTAATATGTTTCTCTGGAATCAGTTCTATTTCCTCCTCCTCATTTTCACTGGATTCATCTGTTTGGCCTTGTGCTCTTCTGATGATTTCGCTGTCAGTTAACACTTCATAGCCTGGTTCAGTACTGTCTACTTCAAGCCATTTTTCAATGTTCTCAATAGTAACATTTTCCAATCCTTTGGTGTGTTGTAAAATGGTGGCCACTGTAGCCACAGAAATATCTTCTTCATCAAAGTCCAGGCCTTCTTTCTCCTCTATCATAGGGAGAATCTTCTTCCATGCCCTGCTAATGGTAACTGGTTTTACTAAGTTCCATGCCATAGCTATTTCATAAAGTGCATCCAGTAGAGTTAGTTTCTTCCAGAATGATTTCAAGTCATTACCTTCTTCCAAGTTGTTCTGGAGAAGACCCGCACGGTAGTTTCTCTTCATCATTCCTATGACTCCCTGATTTGAGGGCTGAATCAATGAAGCCACATTAGGTGGTAAATATTTAGCAAATATTTGGCCATCATCTGACCTCAGCACGTTTTCATTTGGATGTGTTGGTGAATTATCCAACAAGAGCACAGCCTTTTCCTGCAAGCCTTTGGATCTTAAGTACTCCCGAACTTGTGGCACAAAAATCTTGTTAAACCATTGTCGGAAAATGGAAAGATCCATCCATGCACCCTTTTGGCTGAAATAAGAGACAGGCAGGTTTAAGGTGTCAGTTGACTTGAAGGAGCGAGGTTTCTTTGCTTTCCCCACAACACAAAGTTTAAGTTTGTGTAAACCTGTTGCATTGGCACAACACATGATAGTGATTCTTTCTTCAACTGATTTGTGTCCAGGGACAGTGCATTTACCTTTGATTACTGAAGTCCTGGAAGGTAGACACTTCCAAAAGAGTCCAGTTTCATCTGCATTGTAGATTTGTTCAGGCTGCAAATTCTCTCGTTCAATAAAATCTCGAAAATTGTTACAAAAATCTTCCACAGCAGTCTCATCTCCATTTAATCTTTCATTTCTAATGTTAATCTCTCTAATGCTATGCCGCTGCTTAAAACGAGTCAACCAACCAGCAGAGGGGTTAAAATCACCATCCATACCCAAAGCATAAAAGAAAAACTCTGCTCTTTTTGCACAAATTGGTCCAGATATGGGATTCCCTTTTGCTCTTTGCTGGTTGAACCATTCCAACATAGCTCTATCCAGTTCCTCATACATGGATGGCTTCATAGATTTCCTCTTGGCCAGAAGACTTGTGGAATCAGAACTGCTCGCATAAGTTATAATCTTTTCCTTATTTTTTCTTATATCCCGAACTGTTGTTTCACCAATTCCATAAATCACTGCCAGTTGTTTGGAAGAATCTCCATCCTCAAGTTTCTTTATTATGTCGAGCTTATCTTTAATAGTCAACACCACACGCTTCCGTTTCCCTGACATGGTGAGGCTCTGGGACTTACCCACAATCACACTGTAGCAATCCGCAAAATCCCTCCTTCTCTTACACACTCACTTCAAAAGTCTTACACCAACTCAGTCTTTCAACATTATCAGCAATCTGGTGGCCCTGACCCCCTCCCAGGCTGGGCCTGGCTGGCAAACAGGCTGCAGAGCAAGCTGAAAGAGGAGGAAGTTTGAAGGAACAGGCCTTTAATTTACATGGGCAGTAGAGGAGGCCCCAAATCACCGCGGATAATCCGGATTACAGACATGTGTTTTATTACCCCAGTGGCCGCGAGAAAGACTATAACCCCATCGTGGCCACCAATCACCTGCACGTCCACATCCTGTGTAAACGCCAGTCACTAACCCCTGCCACACCCCAAAGTTACAGCAAAGAGCGGAAGAGCCTGAGAGTCAAGGACTGGCTCCCTTCCCCAGGGGAATGGTTACGTTTGAGTCCTTCCCCAGCAGCTGGGCCCTCCCGCCGCACAGTCCCACTTCCTGAAGCCAGGCTCAGCCTGGACAGTCCTCCCAGTCCCTCACAGCCCGCCGGGCCCTTCTCCCCACCTCAGTAGCAACCAGGACCCCGCACCGCTCCCTCACTACCGCGCCGCAGCCGCTCCTCCCTCAACCACACTCCCGGAAGACGCTCCCTCCCGCCTCCGGGCTCCGCCCCTCTCCCCTCCCACAGGCGGGACTTCCCTTGGTCCCCGGAAGGGGGAGGAGCGTAGCTTGTCTGGAGCTGTTGCCCTGGGCGGAGGCGGAGGCGGAGGCGGAGGCGGAGGCAGAGGCGGAGGCGCTTTGAAAGGTGAGAGCGCGAGGGCGGTGCGGGGCTGGCTCCCGGCGGGAACTCTCTCTTTTTCCGGACACTAACGGTTTATTAGAGAGGCGGGGGAAGCCGCGCCTCCTGGCGGGCCAAGAGAAAAATTCCGGCGGTGGCTGTCTGGGTGGACCGGAGGGCGCCCCTCAGCCCTTTTCTCTACTAGCCCTCCTCCTCAGCTGAGCTGCAGTGGGCGCGGTGCTTGTTATTTCCGCCATCTCGAGGTGCTTGGAACTGATGCGGGGAGCTTGATTGGTGATTTCTCGGGTTTCTGGCCTTTCCAGACCCTTGTTTGTTTTCTGCGTGCAGAGCCCTTTTGGCATCTGGTGGGGGTTCTGTTATCCTGCGCACGTCATCGCGAAGCTCTGTCTGAGGGTCCGGTTTCCTGGCTACGGTGCCCCTCCTTCCTGGAGGCAGAGTGACGGGCCCGTGGGCGGGCGGGCTGCGCTAGGTGCCTGCGTCCCGCCAAAGAGTCAGGTTTGTAATCACGAAAATCACCCTCTCGGGCGTTAACTCCTAAGAGGATCCGTTCCTCCGTCTGCCACTCATCCCTGCTGGATTGGGCGAACCACCTTCATTATTACATATTTTAATGAATAATATAGTTACCTCGGATGTCAACCTGGCAGGAATCACTTTGCGAAATTGTGGAGTATTGGACCATGATTCTAAGTGGGGGAGATTGGCTTTCCTCTCTTTATGTTTCTTATCTTCCTGTTGTGCTGTCCTCTTTTCCAGGCAATAGAAGGACTATGGTAAATTTAATTACAGCAATATGATAACTTAATCAGAATCATATACTGTAGCCTTCAAATCGTGTATTATGCTGGCTTGTTTTTGGTGTCCCTAGTAATTTCATCAGATTGTGAGCTCCTTGGGAGCAGAGACCGTGTTTATTTCGTCTAGTAACACCCATCTCTGAGCATGTCCTAGCATTTTGGTAGACATTCAATAACTATTTCTTTGGTTTATTAATCTTTCCTCTTCAAACCGCCATATAAAGGAAAACATCAAGGAGGGGTGATGTTTTATAAATAAGAATGCATCCCTTCTGGTGGAATTTCAAATAATGGCCTGGGGTTCCACTGCCTCTCAAATCTTAAAAGTGTAAACTACCAACTGCATTGCTTATACAGCATGTAGGTGATTTCTAGAATGAATCTTTTCTTGAGTATGAATTAACTTCAAAGTTTAGAAGAAAGGATATTTCTTCAGATGGGAACTTCAAATGGCATCATCAAAGTACCTTCTTTAAGGTGTAGAGTTACTATGTTACAGAAAGAACACAAGCAACATAGATTATTGCTTTTAATTTATATTCTTTGGCAGACAGCATAGCTATGTATGTGCATCTTAAATGAATATTAACCGTGAAGCACAAAGATGTGATAGTATTGATCTTCTTCATTCACTTATTTAATGCTTTCTGTTTGGAGTCTCTTTGTTTTTCTCTTTTCCTAAAGGTAAGGTATCATTACAGAAGCTTGATAAATTTCTCATTTCAAGAAATTGAGTGTATATATTCAGCATATACAGAAGTTACATCCATGTGCATGGATTCTTTTTTGAGTGAATTCTAAAGACCAAGAGATGTATTACCCATCAGACTAGCTTTTCCTTCTCATTTCTCTTCCCAGTTTCACTCACCTTTTCTCTCTGTCATCATTCTTCCCTCCCCAGCTAATGTAGTAAAGATATCCACAATTTAAAAAGAGGAGCCAACCATATTCAAATTATCTTTTTTTTTTTCAATAACAGAATTTTTGACCTTTTGATATAAATGGCAATTTTGAAATATAGGAAAGACTCTGGCAATTTGGTACTTGGCCAAATGAAACTTGATTTATTTTATTTAAATAAAATGTGCCTCCTCAAACATTCAAATCCTGCAGTTTCCCAAAATAAATATTTTTCTCATCAGACTACCTTTCTCTGAAATTTTTACTTTTGGGCTCATTGTGGACTACCTTAAATTTTGTGATCAGTGTCATCAATAAGATGGTAGAGGGAAGTCTGCAAATTTTCATCTCTTTTGCACATTCTTTTCTTGCTGAGTGGAAAAATAATTTCCAGAAGTTTCTGACCTAACTGATGTGCACTAAAATTTAGTTACATAATAAAAAAAGCATGTTTGTAAACTCTAAACCATTTTAATGGTTTTGTTTTCTGAAACTAAAATTTAGCATGAATGAGAGATAAAATAATGACTTTTGAAAGGCTTAATTTTTACTACCTTGTACAAATATGATATTGGCAGCAGTCATTGTGTAGCACTGGACGGGGAATCAGGAGACCTGGTTTCTAATCCCTGCTCTGTCACTAGCAACCTGTGTGATCTTCGGTAAGTCATTTAAACTCTATGTCCTTGGCTTTGATATTTACAAATAAAGATAGATAATATCTTTCTCCTAGGATCATTGTCAGGATTTAAAAATAAATATGAAAATGCACTGAAAAATTATAAATATAAGGGGTTTCTTTTATACTTTAACTGTTTGTAGTCATGGGTCTTTTTAATAGTGTGACATTCTTAATGTTTTCTACCATTGTCATAGGAATCACCTATTTATATAATAAATAAATGTCTTTAGGGCATGTTATAGTTTTGTAAGATAATCATCTAGTGTATATGAATCTGCTTTTGGGTACTAATAAAATCATCTTTCACTTTAATGTTTCTTACTTCCCATATTTGCTTTAGTGTATCTGCTGCAACCACATTTGTCATTTGTTTCATAAATGTTTTTCATTATTTCTCCCAATTCAAGCAGGTTTACTAGAAAGCTTTGCTTTCTTATTACAGTGTAATGCACATGCACATATGCATAATTAGCTTATACAATTTATATATGTTTAAAAATACTTCTTTGTACTATATAGCTTCAGAATATAAGCTGCCTAGTTTATCTGGTGCTTAACCAAA